ATTGTTTATAGGAAGTAAAAGGGTTTATGAGGAGTCAAGTACAACAAGTAACTTGTGTGAAGTGAGATTCTAGTACACCAAGTAGTGACTTTGCTGTTTATGAGGAGTCAAGTAAAGTAGTGACTTGTGTGATGGACTGTTTATGAGGAGTCTAGTACACCAAGTAGTGACTTGTGTGATGGATTGTTTATGAGGAGTCAAGTACGCCAAGTAGTGATTTGTGTGATGGACTGTTTATGAGGAGTCAAGTACGCCAAGTAGTGACTTGTGTGATGGACTGTTTATGAGGAGTCAAGTACACCAAGTAGTGACTTGTGTGACGGACTGTTTATGAGGAGTCTAGTACACCAAGTAGTGACTTGTGTGATGGGACTGTTTATGAGTACGCCAGTAGTAGTGTGACACCAGGAGTCTAGTACACCAAGTAGTGACTTGTGTGATGGATTGTTTATGAGGAGTCAAGTACGCCAAGTAGTGACTTGTGTGATGGATTGTTTATGAGGAGTCAAGTACGCCAAGTAGTGACTTGTGTGATGGACTGTTTATGAGGAGTCTAGTACACTGAGTAGTGACTTGTGTGATGGACTGTTTATGAGGAGTCTAGTACACCAAGTAGTGACTTGTGTAACGGACTGTTTATGAGGAGTCAAGTACGCCAAGTAGTGACTTGTGTGATGGATTGTTTATGAGGAGTCTAGTACACCAAGCAGTGACTTGTGTGATGGACTGTTTATGAGGAGTCTAGTACACCAAGTAGTGACTTGTGTGATGGACTGTTTATGAGGAGTCTAGTACACCAAGTAGTGACTTGTGTGATGGACTGTTTATGAGCAGTCTAGTACACCAAGCAGTGACTTGTGTGATGGACTGTTTATGAGGAGTCTAGTACACCAAGTAGTGACTTGTGTGATGGACTGTTTATGAGGAGTCTAGTACACCAAGTAGTGACTTGTGTGATGGACTGTTTATGAGGAGTCTAGTACACCAAGCAGTGACCACAGAGTCAACTGCAACCGCTGAAGGTTTTGTACAGGAAAACTGTTGATTGCTGGACTGGCAGGCATGCAATGTGATGTCACATGCTTAACACACTTGACATCCTTAGCAACAATATGTAGGTTACAAGAAAATGATGTTAATGTCTATCACACTGGTAAGGTTTTCATTTGAAGCCCCTTGAGTTACAGTCAACAGCAATAAATCTTGATATCACAATCTTCAGCTAGCAAAACTTGGACAATGACAGAAATAGGGAACAGAACAATTACAACGGAGATGAGATTCTGCAGATAAATAGAAATCAACATACCCAGAAGAGAAAGGATCAGAAATAATAAAATCAGAAAGTTTGTAGGGCAGCAACAGATTTCAAAACAAAAACGTGAAATGATTCAGCCATTACACTCAGCTGTCAACAGATAGTATATCACAAGAAGCAATCATATATAGACCTAGTGGGAATGGAAATACAGACCAAGTGGGAATAGAATGAGACGGGAAGGGGGAGCAGAATAAGAGGCAGTAAAGGGGGAGCAGAATAAGAGATGGGGAAGGGGGAGCAGAATAAGAGATGGGGAGGGGGAGCAGAATAAGAGATGGGAAAGGGGGAGCAGAATAAGAGATGGGAAAGGGGGAGCAGAATAAGAGATGGGAAAGGGGGAGTAGAATAAGAGATGGGAAAGGGGGAGTAGAATAAGAGATGGGAAAGGGGGAGCAGAATAGGAGACGGGGAGGGGAGTAGTATAAGAGAAGGGAAAGGGGGGTGCAGAATAAGATACGGGGGGGGAGAAGAAAATATTGGGGGGAGGCAGAATAAGAGACCAAGTTGGGGTTAAATTAGAGACCAAGTTGGGGTTAAATAAAAGACCAAGTTGGGGTTAAGTAAGAGACCAAGTTGGGGTTAAATAAGAGACCAAGTTGGGGTTAAATTAGAGACCAAGTTGGGGTTAAATAAGAGACCAAGTTGGGGTTAAATTAGAGACCAAGTTGGGGTTAAATAAGAGACCAAGTTGGGGTTAAATATGAGACCAAGTTGGGGTTAAATAAGAGACCAAGTTGGGGTTAAATAAGAGACCAAGTTGGGGTTAAATAAGAGACCAAGTTGGGGTTAAATATGAGACCAAGTTGGGGTTAAATAAGAGACCAAGTCGGGGTTAAATTAGAGACCAGGTTGGGGTTAAATAAGAGACAAAGTTGGGGTTAAGTAAGAGACCAAGTTGGGGTTAAATAAGAGACCAAGTCATAAAGGAATAAGAGAACTGGGAATGGAAAAGGAGGCCAAGAGAGAATGGAATAAGAGACCAAGTTGGAGTATAATAAAAGATCAAGTGGGAGTGTAATAAGAGATTGGGGGGGGGGGGGGGGTTAGAAGAATAGACCAATTGGGAATGGAATAAGAGACTTAGTGAGGGGCAGAATAAGAGATCAAGTGAGAATGGAATTAGAAGACTGATGGAACCTGAACAAATAAAGCAAACAAATGGGCAGCCTCTCCCCAGCTGTAGACAAGGCAAGGTACAAGGAGATCATTTTGAGATGAAGATGAGATGATGAATTGGCAAACATTCTGGCAGGTGAAAGATCACAGATACTCACAAAATAACAAGAGAAACATGATACAGCAGGTGGAGTATTTGTCTCCCAAACATGGTCACATGCTTTCGAAGCAGCTAACAGTGACCTGGCTGAACTTCAAGCAACAGAGGCTCCTCCCTTAAATCAGCGATAAAGCAGCTATAGAAGAGACCTCGTTGAACTTCAAGCAACAGATCAAGAAAGCTCTTAGAAAGAGTATGCTAATTTGTGTATAAAAATGGACACAATTTATTACAAATTAGTGAGAATGAGAGGGGAATGTACAATGTATCAGATCTTTAGTTCCAGACTACAATCTCAGCAGCCAGCCCCAGCAGCCAACTTCAGTCAACAATCCAAGTAATCTCTCTCCATTTTAAGGCAGATAAAAGTATTCAGCAACCCTGACAGAAAGCAATCTCACCGGACAACAGTCAACTATGTCATCAGACACGAGTCAACTATCTCATCCGACAACAGTCAACTATCTGATCAGTCAACAGTCAATCATCTGATCAGACAACAGTCAACCATCTCATCAGACAACAGTCAACCATCTGATCAGACAACAGTCAATCATCTGATCAGACAACAGTCAACCATCTGATCAGACAACAGTCAACCATCTCATCAGACAACAGTCAACCATCTGATCAGACAACAGTCAACCATCTGATCAGACAACAGTTAACCATCTGATCAGACAACAGTCAACCATCTCATCAGACAACAGTCAACCATCTCATCAGACACCAGTCAACCATTAAATTGTTATAACAGTCAGTCATTTTATCAGACAACAGTCAACTGTCTCAATCAGACAACAGCCAACTATCTTAATTAGACAACAGTCAACTATCTCAATCAGACAACAGTCAACTATCTCAATCAGACAACAGCCAACTTTCTTAATCAGACAACAGCCAACTATCTCAATCAGACAACAGCCAACTATCTTAATTAGACAACAGTCAACTATCTAGATCAGACAACAGTCAACTATCTCAATATGACAAGAGTAAACTGTCTCAGTTAGACAACAGTCAACGTAACATCAGACAACAGTCAGCTATCTCATGAGACAGTAGTAGACTATCTCATCAGATAACAGTCAACTATCTGATCAGATAAGAGTCAACTACCGCATCAGACAACAGTCAACTACCTCAACAGACAACACTAAAGCATCTAATCAGACAACAGTCAACTACCTCATTAGACAACAGTCAACCATCTAATCAGACAACAGTCAACTACCTTATAAGACAACAGTCAACTATCTAATCAGACAAGTCAACTACCTTATCAAACAACAGTCAGCCATCTGATCGGACAACTGTCAACTATCTCATTTGAGAAGAGTCAACAATCTTGTCAGACAGCAGTCAACTATCTCATATGACAAGAGTCAATTATCTCATCAGACAACAGTCAACAATGTGATCAAACAACAGTCAACTACCTCATCAGACAACAGTCAACCATCTGATCAGACAACAGTCAACCATCTGATCAGACAACAGTCAACTATCCCATCAGATAGCAGTCAACTATCTCTTCTGAGAAGTGTCAACGGTGCTGTTCACACTTTCAGGCCCAGAATTAGAGTAACTTCTCTTGCCACTTATGTTTCCTTAGGTCGCTGGACCTCATCTTTGTTTGTTGCAGGGAGTCATGTTTTCCTTATTGTCAATAGTTTAACCGTTGCCTCTTTTCTGGTCTTCTCACCGCTTGTTTTCCTTATTATTTTCACTTTCTGCTATCTGCATGACGGTTCAAGAGTATGAAAACAGCAACATTTTTCTATTCTTACGTTTCTTGTAACTGCTGTCTTTCTCTGGGAGGAGGGGGCAGGGGAGGGTGGGGCCAACCGCCAGCAAAAGTAGAAATACAAAAGTATCCCAGGTTTGATAGTCAGTGCCTGCGGCACTTTCCCCTGCAGTACTTCTTACTTGTACATAGGCGCCTGACACAACACAAACTTCCACAAACATTACATACGCCAAGCGAATGCCAAAACCAAGCCATATCATAACACACCTGTGCAACATAGGAGAGGTCCAGCGACCTAAGGAGACATGAATGGCAAGGAAAGTTAGTCAGAAAACAATAATTTCATCAGACAACAGTCAACCAGCTCCTCAGACAACAGTCAACAATCTCATCAGACAAGAAGCAACCATCTCAACAAACAATAGGCCACCATTCCAACAGTTAACAATATCAACAGACAAGAGGCAACCATCACAATGGACAACAGTCAACCATCTCAACAGATAAGAGACAACCATCCCAACAGACTACAATCTCAGTAGACAAAACACAGTCAACAATCAAACATCTTGACCAACACTCAGACAAAACTGCTGTTGTGTAGCTCACTGACTGCATGCAGATGTCAGATCAAACACTAACCATCCAGGTCATTAGGATTTCTGAACAAACATCACCTCTCGTTGTCTCACCCTGCCATCTCCATCTTTAGCTATATCATACACCTCTTTCTCTCTTCCATCCATTTGATCCTGCTGTTGTTCTCGGCTCTGTTTCTCTGACAGGTGATGTTTCTGATGATGGTTTTGTTGATCTTGATGCTTGTTGTGATGATTCTCCTCCTGTTTAAGAGGTGCTCGTGGAGACTTTTTTGAGGGTAAGACAATCAATATGACAGCTGTGATCACGTGTAGACACCAGTAGAAAGAGCTGCAAATAGAAAGAGGCCCAGCTAGAAGACACAGACATATCACACAGCTATGACTACAATATAGATAAACCACATACAATTATGATACCAGACACACTTATGACTACAATATAGACACGCTGTACACACAGCTATGACTACAATATAGACACGCTGTACACACAGCTATGACTACAATATAGACACCCTGTACACACAGCTATGACTACAATATAGACACCCTGTACACACAGCTATGACTACAATATAGACACCCTGTACACACAGCTATGACTACAATATAGACACGCTGTACACACAGCTATGACTACAATATAGACACCCTGTACACACAGCTATGACTACAATATAGACACCCTGTACACACAGCTATGACTACAATATAGAGACCCTGTACACACAGCTATGACTACAATATAGACACCCTGTACACACAGCTATGACTACAATATAGACACCCTGTACACACAGCTATGACTACAATATAGACACGCTGTACACACAGCTATGACTACAATATAGACACGCTGTACACACAGCTATGACTACAATATAGACACGCTGTACACACAGCTATGACTACAATATAGACACGCTGTACACACAGCTATGACTACAATATAGACACCCTGTACACACAGCTATGACTACAATATAGACACCCTGTACACACAGCTATGACTACAATATAGACACGCTGTACACACAGCTATGACTACAATATAGACACCCTGTACACACAGCTATGACTACAATATAGATAAACCACACACACCTATGACTGATGATCAACACCTTTTCGTCTTTCCAAAAGATAGTGTTATACTGCCGTATGGGCAGGCATGGTACTCAGAGCCCATGGTGATGGAGAGTGTGACTAGGAAGACCCACCTGCCAGTTTTGTAAAGGCTGCCGTCAGATCAAGAATAGATGAATATACAACTCTCTTGGACTCGAAAGGCATGTTCCATAAAAAGTGAATAGAATTTCCAATGAGCGCAGGAGCAAGTAAACATTCCTGCTTCACTCCCCTCTGTACTCCGTACATCTATGACTATCATATGGAAATACCACACACATACACATGCACCTATGATGACTACAATATAAACATACTACAAACACACACACACGACTACATATAAACATACCCCGCCCACACACACATACTGACGCACTCACACACACACACACACACCTATGACTACAATAAAGACATACCACACACACACACACACCTTGACTACATTAAAGACATACCACACACACCTATGACTACAATAAAGACATACCATACACACACACACCTTGACTACATTAAAGACATACCACACACACATCTATGACTATCATACAGACATACCACAAACACACACCTATTACTACAATATAGACATACCACACACACACCTATGACTACAGTACAGGCATACCACATACACATCTATGACTATCATACAGACACCACACAAACATATTACTACAATATAGACATACCACACACATCTATGACTGCAATACAGACAGACATACCATGCACATATGCCTATGACAACAATATAGAAATACCCCCCCCCCCCCTCCTGATGTCTACAATAAAGACATACCACACACCTATAACTACAATATAGACACAGCATACGCATACCTATTGTTACAATATAGATAAACACCTATGACTACAATATACATACCACACACCTATGACAGACACCATCTATGACTATGACACCATCTATGAGTGGTGTGAGGAAACTGGTTCAATAAAACCAGATATGGCAGAAGTATTGTGTTAATTGTCAGAGATGAGGTTATGAACACTACAATAAATTGTTGTAACAATTATAGAGAGAATTCAATGTCAAAGAACTATTGATAGAAGCTAGTCTTTCAAGCAGAAGCTGCCAATATGGTGTCGCCGCTAGATGCTCGCCTGCGGATCTGAAGGTTGTGGGTTCAAATCCAAATGGGGTCGGACTTTTAAAAAACATAAGTTGACCCAGCCTTAACTGGGTACCAGGTAAAGTCCTGGAAAGTAAAGGCAGTCAGTATGATGTTGACTGGTCTATAAAATATAGCAATATTGTAGTAACAATAAAACCAAGATGGCTAGCACTAGCAGTGGGCAGTTACCTAAACGAAGATCCAGGAAGACACACACACACACAGTGACAATGAGAACAGACAAGTGATATTGCCAGTAACAACAGACAAGATGGCTAGCACTAGCAGTGGGCAGTTACCTAAACAAAGATCCAGGAAGACACACACACACACACACACAGTGACAATGAGAACAGACAAGTGATATTGCCAGTAACAACAGACAAGATGGCTAGCACTAGCAGTGGGCAGTTACCTAACTGAAGATCCAGGAAGCCACACACACACACACACAGTGACAATGAGAACAGACAAGTGATATTGCCAGTAACAACAGACAAGATGGCTAGCACTAGCAGTGGGCAGTCACCTGTGGAAACGGACTGTGGGCTCCCACTTGAGTACCACAAAGGACAGAACCAGGAAGGATATGCTCAGCTGGGTGGCCACAAACGTGAAGATGTCATAGAGAAGCCTGGAGGCTGGGGATGACTGGAACAACGGCCGCACATTGGCACGAAACTGCAGGAAGACAAAGGTTCAATCTCAGTTTATCATGGCTTCATTATTGATCTTTATTCAACTCTTATTTATTCCCCAAAAATTGTACAGTGCAATATAATGAAAATTTTTTTTTTTTTTAAATAAGACAGAAAAAAAAAGTTGACCAACCATCAGCAACTTCCATCTTTACCATTAAGCACTACCCACACATCTGTCTAGTAACATCACTTACAGAGAGAGAGAGGCAGTTAGGCAGAGATTTATAGTAAGGCAGAGATTTATAGTTAGGTAGAAAGACTGAGATACACAGAGACAGACAGATAAATAAGGAGAGGCAGACAGAGACACAGAGATACAGAGAGAGGCAGACAGAGATACACAGAGAGACTGAGATATACAGACTGAGATATACAGAGAGAGGCAGACAGAGATATACATACAGACAGAGATATACATACAGACAGAGATATACAGAGGGAGGCAGACTGAGATATACAGGGAGGCAGACAGAGATATACAGACAGAGATATACAGACAGAGATATACAGACAGAGATATACAGACAGAGATATACAGACAGAGATATACAGACAGAGATATACAGAGAGAGGCAGACTGAGATGTAGAGGGAGGCAGACAGAGATATACAGACTGAGATATACAGAGAGAAGCAGAGATAAACAGAGAGAGACAGAGATATACAGACTGAGATATACAGAGGGAGGCAGAGATATACACACAGACAGATATATACAGATAGAGGCAGACTGAGATATACAGAGAGAGGCAGACTGAGATATACAGAGAGAGGCAGACTGAGATATACAGAGAGGCAGACTGAGATATACAGAGAGGCAGACTGAGATATACAGAGAGGCAGACTGAGATATACAGATAGAGGCAGACTGAGATATACAGAGAGAGGCAGACTGAGATATACAGAGAGGCAGACTGAGATATACAGAGAGGCAGACTGAGATATACAGAGAGAGGCAGACTGAGATATACAGAGAGGCAGACTGAGATATACAGAGAGGCAGACTGAGATATACAGAGAGGCAGACTGAGATATACAGAGAGGCAGACTGAGATATACAGAGAGGCAGACTGAGATATACAGAGAGAGGCAGACTGAGATATACAGAGAGAGGCAGACTGAGATATACAGAGAGAGGCAGACTGAGATATACAGAGAGAGGCAGACTGAGATATACAGAGAGAGGCAGACTGAGATATACAGAGAGAGGCAGACTGAGATATACAGAGAGAGGCAGACTGAGATATACAGAGATATACAGAGAGAGGCAGACTGAGATTTACAGAGAGACAGATATACAGAGAGAGACAGAGATATACAGAGAGACTAAGATATACAGAGAGAGAGAGCAGACAGAGATTAATAGAGAGAGGCAGACAGGGATATACAGAGAGAGAGAGAGGCAGACAGAGATATACAGAGAGAGAGGAGGCAGACAGAGATATACAGAGAGAGAGAGAGAGGCAGACAGGGATATACAGAGAGAGGAGGCAGACAGAGATATACAGAGAGAGAGGAGGCAGACAGAGATATACAGAGAGAGGCAGACAAGAGATATACAGAGAGAGAAGGCAGACAGAGATATACAGAGAGAGAGGAGGCAGACAGAGATATACAGAGAGAGAGAGAGAGAGGCAGACAGAGATATACAGAGAGAGGCAGACAAGAGATATACAGAGAGAGGAGGCAGACAGAGATATACAGAGAGAGGCAGATAGAGATATACAGAGAGAGGCAGACAAGAGATATACAGAGAGAGGCAGACAGAGATTTACAGAGAGAGAGAGAGGCAGACAGAGATATACAGAGAGAGGTAGATAGAGATATACAGAGAGAGGCAGACAAGAGATATACAGAGAGAGGCAGATAGAGATATACAGAGAGAGAGAGAGGCAGACAGAGATATACAGAGAGAGGCAGACAGAGATATACAGAGAGAGAGAGGCAGACGAGATATACAGAGAGAGGCAGACAGAGATATACAGAGAGAGGCAGACAGAGATATACAGAGAGAGGCAGACAGAGATATACAGAGAGAGAGAGGCAGACAAGAGATATACAGAGAGAGGCAGACAGAGATATACAGAGAGAGGCAGACAGAGATATACAGAGAGAGGCAGACAGAGATATACAGAGAGAGGCAGACAACAGATATACAGAGAGAGGCAGACAGAGATATACAGATAGAGACAGACAGAGATATACAGACAGAGGCAGAGATAAACAGAGAGAGGCAGACAAGAGATATACAGAGAGAGGCAGATAGAGATATACAGAGAGAGGCAGATAGAGATATACAGAGAGAGGCAGAGATATACAGAGACTGAGATATACATAGAGAGGCAGATAGAGATATACATACAGACTGAGATTTAGAGAGAGGCAGACAGAGATATACAGAGAGGTAGACAGAGATATACAGAGAGACAGGTATACAGAGAGAGGCAGAGAGATATAGAGAGACAGATATACAGAGAGACAGGTATACAGAGAGAGGCAGACAGAGATAGAGAGAGACAGAGATACAGAGAGACAGGTATACAGAGAGAGGCAGACAGAGATAGAGAGGGAGACAGAAATACAGAGAAAGGCAGACATATATAGAGAGGGAGACAGAGATATAAAGAGACAGTGACAATCAGAGAGAGAGAGAGAGACAGAGAGCACTGTGACAGACCCTCCAAACAAAATGGTGCACTGCTATAACTGTGAAAAAATCTAGGTACACATCTACCCATCAAGCTGTCTGCACTGCTATAACTAAAATATGTTACTTACCTATCGAGCTGCCTGCACTTCTATAACTAAAATATGTTACTTACCTATCAAGCTGCCTGCACTTCTATAACTAAAATATGTTACTTACCTATCCAGCTGTCCTGCACTGCTGTAACTAAAATATGTTACCTATCGAACTGCCTGCACTGTTATAACTGTGAAATAATCTACTTATCCATCGAGGTGCCTGCACTGCTATCACTGTGAAAGAGCTGAAAAGCTCTCTCCCTCTCTCACAGATGGAAATAATCTACCTACCCTTCGAGCTGCCTGCACTGCTATAACTGTGAAATAATCTACCTACCCCTTGAGGTGCCTGCACTGCTATAACTGTGAAAGAGCTGCCTAGCTCTAGCTCTCTCTCTCTCTCTCTCTCTCTCTCTCTCTCTCTCTCTCTCTCTCTCTCTCTCACACACAGAAATAATCGACTTACCCGTCGAGCTGCCTGCACTGTGAATGCTGCAGAAACAAATGTGACATAGTATCCAATAAATAAGCCATGCCAGGCAGCACTGAGCATGAAGGTGAGTAGTGTGTTCCAGTAGGGAGCCCGGGTGTAGCACACATATCTCAGCCAGTGTGTGGTCAGAATGTTCCAGTTGTCCATGTACACCTTGGGACTCGTGGCCGTCTGCAGACAAAAAACATGGAGAGATTATACATACAAGTTGCGGATGTCTGCCTAACCCTAACCCTAAACTTAAATGCTTGCCAAGACCAGTAAAAAAACTAGAAACAATTCAAACAGTGACGGTCCTGACGTTTTGAAATAAGAAACATTTACAGTTTGTACCAAGGATCTTTCAGACAATTTTGTAATCAACAGTCATCGGAGAAATTGAAGGACTTCTAAAACGATAGTTAAGATAAATAAGAATGAAAGAGGAGTGAAAGTATAATAAGTCGGAACAAATGGATGAGTGAAAGATTGACTATTATAATACAAATGTGTTTAAGGTATACCATGTTATAAGAAGTTGACATGCGGGGATTTTTTCTTTTTGTTATAAATCTTATACAATTTGTACATGTAATTTTTTTATTTTATTTTGCGAATGTCCTTTGGACATATTTTTCCTCTATTTTCGCATGTCTGCATATTGAAAGTAAGTTCTAATTTAGGTTTTTGCTTCAGTTTGTAACCCAATCTGGATTTCCAATGAACAACATTGATTAATACTGTGTTCCTACAGGTTTCATGTTTGGCAGTTCAATGGTAATTTTTCTTTCGGATGATCCTGCAACAATCAACTAGTTGGAATTGGATGACAGTAAAATAAACTGAATACTGTTGGTTGACAGTTATAAGCTGCCCAATGAGGATAAAAATAGAACTGTCAGGTACAGGTAACATTTGTTTCTCTTTATGTATTCCAGAACCTAGAGTACAGGTCAGGTTAATTTTGGTTTTATTGTTATTTTAACTTTTTAATTTGTCGTTGTACCTTTTTTTAAAAATATTTTTCGCTATTCCTGATTTATCATTTATTAACTAAACAAAAATTATAAATGAAGAATCAAATGTAAATGGTAACATCAGACAACATTTTGTTTCAGGTGTGTACACACAGAGATCACAAGTTGTAAAGATTACTGAACACACAAGAAAGATAACACTTTCTAATATATAGGGAAATGGATCTGGCAGGCAACATTTTTGGTTGACATTATATCTGCACTAATGACCAGAAGTAATGACTAGTGATGGAGCGATGTAAAGGCACATTGTGCGGCAGGGATTGGTGCAATGGATACGACAGAACCTTAGACAAACCATTTAAGAGGCATGTCTATGACGACCATATTTGGATCACTAAGCCGTGGATGATAGTATAGAGTGACCAGAGGCGTTTAGCTCGCACTAAGTAATAGTGGAGCTGAGTTACCAGTGGCGTTTAGCTCGCACTAAGTAATAGTGGAGCTAAGTTCAATAGGTCCCGGACAGGACAGAATGTGCACCCATGTAAATTGTTTCTGTCATTAATAGTATGGTTGGGAGCTGGCGGAGATGGCAAACCTGTGACTTGTGTGTAATGATATCATTTGTATCCATACTGGGAGTGTACTTCTGAAAGTATGCAGCTGTTATAATAGATTTCTAGGTTAAATAATTTCATGTACATTGAGTCACATCTGTTAACATCCAACACTACATTACCTGATACGGGACTGCAGACTATGATAACAGTATGCAGGTTGTACATCAGGAAGTATCAGTAAAGAGGACAGGGTGGATGTCAAGGGCCTGTGTGTCTATGGGTAACTAACTGTAGGTGTTAGTATTTTGAGATGGTCTGTCTGATCACACTTCCCAGAGCTGTGCAGTAGCACAGCAGTAACAGAGTAAGGTGCAGAGGCATACAGCAGTAACAGTGTAAGGTGCAGAGGCACAGCAGTAACAGTGTAAGGTGCAGAGGCATACAGCAGTAACAGTGTAAGGTGCAGAGGCATACAGCAGTAACAGTGTAAGGTGCAGAGGCATACAGCAGTAACAGAGTAAGGTGCAGAGGCACACAGCAGTAACAGAGTAAGGTGCAGAGGCACACAGCAGTAACAGAGTAAGGTGCAGAGGCACACAGCAGTAACAGTGTAAGGTGCAGAGGCACACAGCAGTAACAGAGTAAGGTGCAGAGGCACACAGCAGTAACAGAGTAAGGTGCAGAGGCACACAGCAGTAACAGAGTAAGGTGCAGAGGCACACAGCAGTAACAGTGTAAGGTGCAGAGGCACACAGCAGTAACAGAGTAAGGTGCAGAGGCACACAGCAATAACAGTGTAAGGTGCAGAGGCACACAACAGTAACAGTGTAAGGTGCAGAGGCACACAACAGTAACAGTGTAAGGTGCAGAGGCATACAGCAGTAACAGTGTAAGGTGCAGAGGCACACAGCAGTAACAGTGTAAGGTGCAGAGGCACACAACAGTAACAGTGTAAGGTGCAGAGGCATAGGAAAGAGCCTGGATCAGAGGTTGTTGGTTTGGTTCTGGTTAATGCCTAGAAGCCACTGGAAGATTGCAAAGCCTGTCAGGGTAGGGTTTGCCAGCCACCTCTGGTGCAAATTGAGGATCACTTGTTGTACATGATATTAAAGGCTGCTGTGTGTGCTCTGACAGTGTCGGTAAGTCATGTTTCAGATTGATTCCTCTGTCACAGAGCTGAGTCATGTTTCAGATTGATTCCTCTGTCACAGAGCTGAGTCATGTTTCAGATTGATTCCTCTGTCACAGAGCTGCCAACACGTTATTTGCCTTTAGGGTGATAGCTCACTGACATATATTGAAAGCAAAGACGCTTTAAGGAGACCTACTTGTATCTTAAAGACAAAGACATTTCAAGGAGACTTACTTCTATCTTAAAGACAAAGACATTTCAAGGAGACCTACTTCTATCTTAAAGACAAAGACACTTCAAATAGACTTACTTCTATCTTAAAGACAAAGACATTTCAAGGAGACTTACTTCTATCTTAAAGACAAAGACACTTCAAGTAGACTTACTTCTATCTTAAAGACAAAGACACTTCAAGTAGACTTACTTCTATCTTAAAGACAAAGACATTTCAAGGAGACCTACTTCTATCTTAAAGACAAAGACATTTCAAGGAGACTTACTTCTATCTTAAAGACAAAGACACTTCAAGTAGACTTACTTCTATCTTAAAGACAAAGACACTTCAAGTAGACTTACTTCTATCTTAAAGACAAAGACATTTCAAGGAGACCTACTTCTATCTTAAAGACAAAGACATTTCAAGGAGACTTACTTCTATCTTAAAGACAAAGACATTTCAAGGAGACTTACTTCTATCTTAAAGACAAAGACACTTCAAGTAGACTTACTTCTATCTTAAAGACAAAGACATTTCAAGGAGACTTACTTCTATCTTAAAGACAAAGACACTTCAAGTAGACTTACTTCTATCTTAAAGACAAAGACATTTCAAGGAGACCTACTTCTATCTTAAAGACAAAGACATTTCAAGGAGACTTACTTCTATCTTAAAGACAAAGACATTTCAAGGAGACTTACTTCTATCTTGAAGACAAAGACACTTCAAAGAAACTTACTTCTATCTTGAAGACAAAGACACTTCAAGTAGACTTACTTCTATCTTGAAGACAAAGACATTTGACATTTCTGTCCACTGATGTCTGCCATGTTCATCTTTGCCTGCGTAGCCCATACCAGAAGCATTGTAGATGGCATCAGCTGGGAAGCACATCGATAGGCATAATAACTGACCTGACAGTACACATAATAACTGACCTGACAGTACACATAATAACTGAACTGACAGTACACATAATAACTGAACTGACAGTACACATAATAACTGACCTGACAGTACACATAATAACTGACCTGACAGTTAAACATAATAACTGACCTGACAGTTAAACATAATAACTGACCTGACAGTTAAACATAATAACTGACCTGACAGTACACATAATAACTGACCTGACAGTAACACTTAATAACTTACCTGACAGTAACAAATAACAACTGACCTGATAGTAACACATAATAATTGACCTGACAGTAACACATAATAACTGACATGACAGTAACACATAATAACTGACCTGACAGTAACACATAATAACTGACATGACAGTAACACATAATAACTGACATGACAGTAACACATAATAACTGACCTGACAGTAACACATAATTAACTGACCTGACAATATATATAATAACTGACCTGACAGTAAATATAATAACAGACCTGACATTACACACAATAACAGACCTGAAAGTAACATAATAACTGACCAGACAGTATCACATAATAACTGACATGACAGTACACATAATAACTGACCTGACAGTACACATAATAACTGACCTGACAGTATAAAAAAATAACTGACCTGACAGTATCACATAATAGCTGACCTGATTGTACACATAACTTACCTGACAGTACAAATAATAACTGACCTGACAGTACACATAATAACTGACCTGACAGTACACACAATATGACTAAGAAGAATACCTGACATTAAGTGGCAGGACAAGATTACAAACACTGAGGTATTGGAAAGAGCAGGTATTACAACAGTCTTCTCAATGCTCAGTTTTTGAAGGCTCAGGTGGTTGGGTCACAACTGGAAAGTGGAGGAATGCAGAATCTCCTAATAACATCCTTTATGGTGAATTAAAGACAGGGAGAAGATGTCGAGGCTGACCTCTACTGTGATATCAAGACTTGTGCAAGCGGGAATGATTTTAATACGGAGATGAACTCATGGCAACAAAATGTGTTGTGTGGAGGGGGCACATCAGGAAGGCAATGAGAATGAAAGAAGAAATGATTGCACAAAGGATGAGAGCTGAGCGTCTGAGAAGACACTGACTAAACACACTGACAATATGGTTGTGAAATCCCATGCCACGATTGTGGAGGACCTTTTTTAATGTGGGCGGGTCTTGCTAGTCACACTGGTCATCGCCATGAGCTGCGAGTCCCATGCCTACTCACAGTGCTAGTCACACTGGTCATCGCCATGAGCTGCGAGTCCCATGCCTGCTCACATCGCAATATAACATCATCGTCTGGGAAGATGTAAAGGTGCCAATTAGTACACACAATTACTGACCTGACAGACAACACACCTATTCCACACACTAAGTGACCTGACTAATGTCAGTTGAGTCAAGACCCGACATCACAACACTCAGGACATTTCTATCAGTGCTCCGTCTCTCCATCTTCAGTAGCCAGCAAAGGGTTCTAAATCCAGTAATATCAACAGCAGTCTGACTATGTCTGACTTTCCTTTCTTCTATGTCTGACTTTCCTTTCTTCTGACTATATGTCTGACTTTTCTTTCTTCTATGTCTGACTTTCCTTTCTTCTGACTATATGTCTGACTTTCCTTTCTTCTATGTCTGACTTTCCTTTCTTCTGACTAAAGGGTTCTAAATCCAGTACTATCAACAGCAGTCTGACTATGTACGACTTTCCTTTCTTCTATGTCTGACTTTCCTTTCTTCTGGCTATATGTCTGACTTTCCTTTCTTCTGGCTTTATGTCTGACTTTCCTTTCTTCTAGCTATATGTCTGACTTTAATTTCTTCTGGCTATATGTCTGACTTTCCTTTCTTCTGACTATATGTCTGACTTTCCTTTCTTCTGGCTATATGTCTGACTTTCCTTTCTTCTGACTATATGTCTGACTTTCCTGTCTTCTGGCTATATGTCTGACTTTCCTTTCTTCTGACTATATGTCTGACTTTCCTTTCTTCTGGCTATATGTCTGACTTTATTCTGATTATATGTTTGACTTTCCTTTCTTCTGACTATATGTCTCACTTTATTCTGACTATATGTCTGACTTTCCTTTCTTCTGACTATATGTCTGACTTTCCTTTCTTCTGACTATATGTCTGACTTTCTTCTGACTATATGTCTGACTTTCCTTTCTTCTGACTATATGTCTGACTTTCCTTTCTTATGGTTATATGTCTGACTTTCCTTTCTTCTGACTATATGTCTGACTTTCCTTTCTTTTGATATCTTTGACTTTCCTTTCTTCTGACTATATGTCAGAGAACATAGAAAATGTCTGACAGAACACATAAATGTCTGAGAGAACACACAGAAATGTCTGAGAGAACATACAGAATGCATAAACAGAATATTAAAAATCTTCTTCTCTTTTTCTTTAGCATTCTGAGCCCTTGAGGTTCACTGCTGCAGATATCATCCGCTTCCATTCATCTTTCTGACTGGCCCTCTCTTTCGAATTGGTAACACCAAGTGTTTGCAGGTCTGTATGGATGTTATCTCTCCATCGTCTTCTTGGTCTGCTTCGTGGTCTACGACCATTCATCTCCCTGGTGTATACAGTTTTTACATCTCTGTAATCTAACATTCTTTTAATATGCCCCAACCATTTCAGTCTATCAGCTCTCATGATGCCAGTGATCAGTGGCGATTTAAACAGATTATGAATTTCATTGTTGCTTCTCACTCTCCATTCACCTCTGCTTGCATCTTTGATGGGTCCAAAGATTTGTTGTAAGACTCAGTTTTCGAAAACCTGTAAAAAGGCTTCATCTCTTTTAGTTGGGCTTCCATTTTCAGAGCCATATAACACGACTGGTCTAATCAACATTTTATATAATTTGATCTTGGTTTTGCGAGACAGATACTCTGACTTTAGCAGATGTTGAAGGGCATAGTATACTTTATTTCCAGATTGTATTCTAGATTGTATTTCTTCTCTCAGCATGTTGGAGCAGTTGAAGTTTGCACACAAGTACTTATATGTTTCCGGTCATTTTATTTTCATATTATCGACTTGTATGTGGCCACTGTCTATTTATTATCCTGTATTCTGTCTTATCTTGATTGATAACTAGTCCCATTTTCTGAGCTGATTCTTTTAAGACAATCAGTGTTTTAACAGTCTTTAGTTCATTTTCTCCAATGATATCATATCCAAGTATTCTCCCAGTTTCTCCTATAGTACACTCTTGTTTCAATTTCCACATAATTTTCTCCAAGGCCAAGTTAAAAGAAGTGGGGACAGAGCATCACCTTGCTTTAAACCAGATGATGTTTGAAAAGGGTCTGACTTTCTGCCTTTATATATTACTATATTACGAGTGTCTTCCATACATAGATTGGTCATGCTAATTAACTTTTTTGGTATTCCAAAGTCCTTCATAGCATTGTACCAGCTGTTTCTATGCACACTATCATACGCCTTTTTAAAATCTACAAAAACATTATGTACATTTTTTCTATATTCCCAATTTTGCTCTGCTATTTGCCGTATGTAAAGAATACAGATGATAAAACACAGATGAGTCTTAGGCGTTTATACGGCACCTAGTATCCATGTGACATAATATTTGGCTCTGTGAAACAGCAGTGAGACGTACAAGTAGCCAAGACGGGTCAGCATGCTGTAGTTGGCTATAAAATCTTCATCTGTGGATAGATAGACAATACACATACATACATTGCTGTGGGTAGATAGAAAATAAAACACACATATATGTGTGTGTGTATGTATACACAAATATCACTGTGGGTACATGGACAATACTCATACATAAGCAATAACTGTTAGTAGATAAAGAATACATAATATGTACATCATGTGGGCAAACAGAAAATGAACACACGCCCATACATACACATCAGTTTGGGTAGACAGAAAATAAAAATATATATTTATTTAACACACACACACATATACTTATACACATCAGTGTTGGTAGATACAATACACGCATTTGAGGTAGCTTCAGAAAGTTAACCAAAATTTGTGTATTGTATGTGGTAGAAATAAGTGACAATGCAATTATTTTAACTACATTTCCCTCCAAATAGTTCCCTTCAGCAACAGCACACTTTTGCCAACATTCTTACATTGCTGGAAACATTCTTGGAACTCATTCTCTGAACATGTCTTTCAGTTTCTTTGTTGCACTGCAATAACCTCCCCAGCATTCTTGAATAGCTGAGCATTCAGTGCCAATTTCAGTCGAGGAAACCAGAAAGAATCAGCTGGTGCCAGGTCAGAAGATTATGGGGCATGTTCCAGGGCTGACAGCTAATGCCTTGTAATGCTTTATGAGGTACTGTTACTCCTGTATGTATCGATGGGATGAGGTATTGTCATGCAGCAGAAACCAACTGTTTGTTCTCCATTTGTCAGGGTGTTTCCTTCTGACTGCTCTCTTAGACAACAAAGTGTTATAGTGACAGATATTCCCAGCCATCCAAATAAAAGAGACCTGTGTGCAGTTTAAAGAGAAAACTACACAGTAATACTCAACAGGAACACGTTGAAAGACTGAGTGAGATTGGAACCCTCCCTTAGTGAATGCAGAGTGTAATGCTCTACAAGAAGCTCCAGTTTTCAATTGAGCAGCAAACTGCAACAGTTAATTAAATGTACAGGTAAACACGAAGCTAGAAATGTGGCAAAGCTCAAACGATGGGTGACCTGGGAATATGTCACACATGTTGGTTGTCACCTATTTTAGTTTGACTAATATCAAATAACACCTGAGAGGTTGACAAATATCCGATAACACTTTAGTAATTTAACTTAGTTCAAGGTAAAAGAAAGTAAGAAAAACATTACATAACTTTCCAAATGATGATCCAAACAAATATTTAGAATAGAACACGTGACAAACTGGAGTTCGGTTCTATATACTGAACAGACACCCAGAGAACTGAGCGCAGTTGGTCGCAGAGACTACTCTGAAAGCTGACATCCAGGTCGGTAAAATGACTTAAGACAGATGTATGAAGAAGGAGACTAACCATTCGGGCTTCTAAATGGGAATGCCTAATGATTAATAACGGCTGAAGGAGGATGACCAACCTTTACTGAAGCCTGATTTGGCATGTTTGAAGAAAGATCATACAAGACAGGACAGACAGATATTTCTATCATCATTTTATTTTGCTTCACTGTAAAGGGGCTGGGCTTTTAAGTATCTAATCCTGCCCTGAATGTGAAGTGTACCAGGATGTGGCTTCGAGGATTAAGTTGAGCGTATTCACAATTCTATTTACTAGAAGACTGGACATGAAACTGTCTGTACATTGTGTTATGTTGTGGCATCGTTAAAGTGTTGTCTGGAAGCGGCCTTACCATGAAATGGATTACTTTTCTTGGACTCCCAGCTTAATGTTGGTGTAACTGTCTTAAGTCGATAATGGATGAGTCATGTAGTGTTGAGCAAGGAAAAGGTGTTTCGGTCATAAAGAGTTCTGGGTCACAGATGTAGTCACAATGAACTTGGCGACTATCCAGGCAGGGTCACTGCCACAAAAGGATGTCAATGTGTATTTCCTGTTTAACTGTTCGGCCTTCAGCAATGATATCACTGTAGACAATAGCCTAGAATAAAACAATTTA